ATAATATACCTAATGATAAAACTTAATTAAAAAATGCAACATTTAATAATTTTCATAAATCTAAAAATTCATTTTCTCTGAAAACACTGAACACTCTACATACAGCCAAGTCAACATTTACAATCTTAAATGAGATTTAAGTTTCTTTTTAAATACCTGTTTACTTTCTGTACAACAGAGATGATGAAGCAGATTATTCCAGAGAGTTATTGCTCTATAAATAAAAGATCGTGATAAAGCATCTGTTCTTGGGCGAGGCAGTACCAGCTGACCATTGCTGGACCCTCTAGTGCTATGATTGTGCACAGTATTTTGAAAAACAATTTGTTCAAATATAAAATCAGGTGTTCTACTGATCAAGACTGATTTAAACAATACAGTTGTGTTTACTGCTAACCTGTTTTCTACCATCAGCCATGAGAGGGAATCATGCATGTGGCTAATGTTTGATCTGGATGAGCAACCCAACACCAACCGTGCAGCCTTATTTTGGGCAATCTGCAGCTTTCTGAGCTCACCTTTAGCTGCAGATGCCCAGACCACAGAACAATAGTCAAGGTGACATAATACTAAACTTTGCGCAATCTGACACAAAAGGGGGCGAGCAACAAAAGAAGCACATTTCACAGCTTTTCCCATTTTTAAGATGATTTGGTTAATATGATGTTATGTTCACAGTACACAGATGCCTTTGAAACACGCAAGTTAAATACAACAAGAAATTAGAAATATAACATATTTAGCTAAGTTAGCTAGTTGGCATTTGCCAGATTCAAGCTTCAGTTAAGGTTTCTTAAAAATGTGACTTGGTTATTTGAATTGACCTGATACATATGTTTTCTTCATTTCTGGCATCCCATTCCCACTTGATTCAGGGTGCTTTCACACCTACCTCGTTTGGTCTGGACTTTAGGACTTTTCCGTTTGTTCCGGACCAAATTTACAAGTGTGAAAGCTTTTTTTTTCGATAGTTTGGACTTTAAAACATTTAACCCTATGGGCCCGAACGACGCATAGTGTCACACCTGTTCTTCTCTGTGGATTTTCTCCATGACTGTGTGTCATAGCAAGAAGCCACGCATATCACGTGAAACAGCGGAACAGTAGCTTTCCGACAAGGCCAAGCACTTGTCGGTATTCCAACGTTTTCACGGCGAAAAAAAATGATAAATTTACAATAAAATGATGTATAACAGAGCTTTCATACAGCTTTGCACACACATTACTCCTGGATGGATTACTCGCGAATGCAGCTGTCATCCCATCACACTATAAATCCAGATCAATTGTCTACAAAATAAAAACCTGACGAATTTCTTTACAACCCATTATACAGATCTTGTTACCAGTCACTTCATATAGTGAGGAATATCGTATCTTACCACGTCTTAGGCTTGTGTGTGTTTTTCCCTGTCTATCCACATTTGTAGTCCAGCTTTCAAGATGCAAATATCTCCATATTGTCCAGTTGACACTCCATCAAACTTTGTATGACAAGACCAGCGTACTTCACCTTTGCGCACCCAGACAACTGCAGCCTAATTATGCATGCATGACAGGTCAGTAGTCACCATATACACTGAGGGGGACAAAAACCACTATTCAATGCAACTATCTGCAATCAGTACATAAATGTATCTCTATATCGACTGTCCCGTCACATCTGATGTCAGATCGAAGGGGATTGGCATCGTTTGGCATGTGTAATGGAGCTGCTCCCGGCTGTGCCCCCGGCTGTGTGGTCGGCTCGCCCGGCTCATCCTCGTCCTCCCCCTGCTGCTGCTGCGTGGCACCATTTGGCACGTTTGGCATGCGTAATGGAAACCCAACCTGATTTGATTAATACAGCTGCAAACTGAGTTCACATCCCTCTCAGCCAACCACAAACAGCCACAGCATCAGATAGGGAGTATATATTCAGCATCTGTCATCTTAGAAAAGTCAAAAGAAAAGAAACAGAGTGAGACTGCGAGAGAGAAAGAGAGAGCGCGCACGAGAGAAACACTGTCAACAAATTGTAAGTTATGTTCAGTGTCTTAAGGGTTTACGTGCTTCATGTGATTGCCTATACAAATGTTAAAATGTTCTTGCTTAACGTGATCTACAAAGATGGAGTACATTATTGCGAGGAGGAGGAGGAGGACGCTGCTGCTCTCTTCTGCCATGGCGAATTGAGTAAACTCTCATTACGCCTCCGCGCGGCGCATTTAAGGGCGAGGAGAGGGGTTCATTTGATTGGTGTGATGTGAATCGGCTGTGTAAAACTCACTCTACGCCTTCTCTCCTCCCTCTTTCTGACTTGCACAGGTAGGAGGGACGGAGGTGGGAAAGAGGAGTAGCTGCGCAGGCGCACGGTGTGCCAAACTTGCAAAACACCTAGTTGGCGAAGCGCAGGTGCGCTGCGCCTCCCCCTCGCCCGGTCTGTGAAACTAGAGGCCACGTAGTTAACGTCAATATGTCATTTGGTCCGGTCGCCTTAATGCAGTGTGAAACCAAACCAACCGGACCAAATGTATACAATGTAGCAAAAACACGGACCTTGGTCCGGACTTTCAGGTGTGAAAGCCCCCTCAATCACAAATGTATCTTCTGTTTGAGTGGCAAGACTGTGTGACCCAGGTTACTGACCAACACTAAGCTATCAGTGATGGCTGTCAGAATTTGTAGTGATTTAACACTCAATAAAATAAATACATCATTTTACCTTCAGAGTTTGCTGTTTACTGCTCCAGTAGAGGCATTTTGCTGGCTCCCATGACAGAGAGGTCTCTCTGATGAAGTGCTTGTCTGCAGCAGAGAGCTATGACAGTGTTCAGCCTCCTCCAGTAGATGTTGTGGTTTTGTGTGTGCACAAGTTTCATATGGAACAGTTTTCATTAAACTTTTTGGATGGTTCTTACAACAGAGGACACAGAGTTAACAGCATCTGTTACCTCCTTCAAGGCCTGCTTAACCTGTCCCTGTCACACCACTAATGACAGAAGAAAATTAAACGTTTTTCTCAGCATCTGAAAAGTTTTTCTTTCTCTCTCTCTCTCTCTTCCTTTGTTTGC